GGTTTGTTGTGATGGTTTGTTGTGATGGTTTGTTGTGATGGTTTGTTGTGATGGTTTGTTGTGTGACGGTTTGTTCTTCAGCTGGTGTTGTCATTACGGTGTGTCTTATCGCTTAGTATACCTCTTCGCGCACTGTGCCCTCTTTCTCCTGCAGTTTCTGAATCTCCTTCTCGCCAATCTTATCCTCTCCCTGCGTCGCTCCCTCTTCGTTATGCTTCTCAACCTGCATATTCCCCTTGAGCGCCTCCCTCAGAATCGCTTCGCCCTCATCAGCCGCTATCTCCTGACCCCCAATGTCCCTCCCCTTCAGCTCCAGCTCCGACTTCGCCCCCGCATCTTCCACCCCATCCCCATCCCCCAGTGCATCCGCCCTCCTCCCCGTCCCCATCCCACTCTCCTCCTTCCAACTCTGCTCCGTCTGCTTTCTTGCAAGCTTGCGCTCCTTGCTCTGCTGGCGTTGCCTCGAGCTCGCCCTCAGTCTCGACTTGCCATTCGCAGAGGCGGAGAGATGCTGCATGCCCGGGAAATAGTCCGAATCGTCGGAGAAGCCTTCGCCCGGTGTGCGCTGCGGAGGCTGCAGGTGGCGCAGGATAGCAGATGTGCGGGGCACCGTTGGATTGCGCGATGGCGCGTCGTCTTCGTCGCTGGTGGAGGCGTCGTTCGAGGCGTCGTTGGGAGAGGCGGGGGTGGGTGAGAGAGCGGTGGCTTGTTGGGTGACTTTTGTGCTGTGTTTGCGCCCGAGCTTGGTTGGGGTGGGCTCTTCGATGGTGGGGGCGCTGCTGCCGTCTTGTGCTGCGGTCGCGTAGTCTTGTTGGTCCTCGATTGGAGGACTGGCTGTTGTAGCGGGCGCTGGAAGATCTTGCTGTCCCAGGTACTCGACAGTGTTCTTCCTCATTGGCCTCTTCGGCCAGTTGGCCTTGTCATGGTTGCAGCCGTTCACGCAACCGCCCCATCGCCGTATCGGTATGGTGGGCGATGCTGTGAGAGCCGACTGCGAGTGCGTTCTGCTCGGCGTCGTGGACATCGAGCTGCTGCTGCCTCCTCCCGCTGCTGCAGCTCTCCGCTTCAGCTCCGACCATGTTCGTAGCTCGTTCTGCAGTATGTACTTCTTGTTCGTTTCGCTCTGCTTCATGACGATGAACTCGCAGTGGTTGACATTGCGGAGATCCTCAAAGTACTCGACCGACCAGTGGTACCTATTTGGCCTGTTAGCGCCTTGCACTTCCGCCTCTCTGCTCTTCCGACTCACCACTTCATGAGGAACACCCTCGACATCAGGCCATGCGTGACCAGCACACACACACTCGGAAAGTCTTCGTCACCAAACTGCCTCCACAGACTCTCATTGAAGCCACTAACCCGATCGTATGCGTCTGCAGCGCTCTCGCCGTCCGGGATGCGGTAGAAGAAGTGGCCGTAATCAGCGCGCTCCTGCCACATCCTCTCCATCTCTGCCGAACACGGCTGGAAGTTGCCAAAATCCTGCTCTCTCAGCCGTGGCTCCTCGAAGACGGTGATCTTGTTGCGCGGAAAGGGCGAGGGCGTAGGATGGTCCGAAGTCAGCGTGCGCAGAATGCCCTCGGTCGTCTCGCGCGTGCGGCGGTAGGGCGAGGTATAGAACTGCAGAGTGTCGTCTGGTCTGAGGAGCGAGCGCAGCTGGCGGCCTGCTTCTTCTGCCTATGTCATGTTAGCTATAGCCGTCCGGTGCGAGATGAGACGGCACGGGGCACCTGAGTCCAGCCATGCTGTGTCAGCTTCACGCGGTGATCCGGGATGAACTGGTGGATATCGCGGTTCTTGTTGCCCTCCGACTGCGCATGGCGGATCAGTATGATCATCTGCGAGTGTCAGCATGCGGCCCTCGTCGCGTATGTCACGAGGGCTTCACTTACGCGGGGCTTCCCCATGTTGGCGATGTGCTCAACAGCTCGAACGGTGCGAGGAGGGAGGGGTGTGGGAGACTGTTTGGGTATATGTTTAGGAGTATGTTTGGGTATATGTCTGGGTGTATGTCTGGGTGTATGTCTGGGTGTATGTCTGGGTGTATGTCTGGGTGTATGTTTGGGTGTATGTTTAGGTATATGTTTGGGTATATGTTTGGGCGTGTGTTTGGGTATATGTCAAGCGCAGAACAAAACAACCCCGTCAGGCGCAAGGCACGAGACAAGAAGGGCGTTTCGCCAACCTGATCGCTGGTGCAGCTGCGCGGCCGGCACGACCGCCTCGCCGTACCGCAGCTGCGGGCAAAAAGCTCCAGGCACGACCGTCAGCCGTCGCGTCATCTTCAACCCCCCCCCCCCCCCCAAAAAGCTCGCCCTCGCACGCGCTCGGAAATCCTTTTCGCGCCACTGCAGTCGCGCAGTACCGTCACATCTACGCTATTCGACCACCCCTTGGGCGCCTGCAGTCCGCCCGCAGTCCGCCCATCTAGACCTGCGCGCAGTCCGCGACCGAGTCTCCACCTTCACCGGACCCCTAACATCAACACCTCCAACCCTTCTTACACACCCACAAACCTCGCACCATGTCCGAACCCATACCCGAATCAATCCCTACAAGCGCAGACCCCCGCTCGCACCGCCCGACAAAACGGCGCGCCCTGACGCCCCGCGCAGGATACGCCTCGGACGTCGAAGCGCTCTTCGCAAAGCCCGACAAAGAGATACACATCCCCGGCTCGGCAGTCTCCAAAAAAGTCTCTGCGCCCCCGGAAATCGTCGCGAACGTGCAAGGCTCCTCCGCCGGCGCCGGGTCCGGGGAGTTTCACGTGTACAAAGCGAGCCGACGAAGGGAGTATGAGCGACTGAGGGCCATGGACGAGGAGGTCCAGAAAGAGGTTGACGAGAAGGAGTTCCTGGCGAGGAAAGCGGAGCAGGAAAAGAGGGATGCCGAGAAGACGGAGAAGAACCGGGCGAAGAGGGCGAAAGCTTTGGCGCGGAAGCAGAAGGCTAAGCTGGGGAAGAAGGGAGATGCGGCGGCGGCGGAGGGGGACGGGAAGGCGGAGGCAGGAAAGAAGAAACTTGTGCCGAACGCGAATGGGGTCAAGACGGGGAACGGGGATGGTGCGGCGGAAGCGGAGGGTGGAGAGGTGAAGACCACAGACGAAATTGGCTTGGTCATCGAGGATGATGACTGAGAGCTTGCGCAACGGTGAGAATGAGAAACAATGAATGGCGAAAGAAGGTCTCATCAAGTGCTGATGGTGGCTGTCGAATCGTCATCCAAGACAGGGGTAACGCTCAACGCATGCAGTATCCTGCACAAACTGTACCGTGCAAACACATGAGTTGCACCCTCGTGTCCGTATTGAGCCGACCAGCGCGGAATTCACAGTGTGACAAATGTGCGAAGATGGGTAGGACGGTATCAATATCATTCGCTGATCATAGGTTTCTAGAGTCTACGTAAAGGCAACGCTGTCTACTGTGCACCATGCTTTTCTCAAGCATCTCCAACGCCGCTAAGCAAGCACACTCCAAAAGCTGCTGAACGTATGAGCGCTTAGTTCAGTCCAAGGTTGGCCATGGCCCTTTCGTAGTCGTCCCACTTGGTGAGAGCACCGAGTGCGCGACGCTGGTGGGCGCTGAGAAGCGTCATGCCGTAGATGTAACTGGCGTTGACCCACCCAAAACTACACGTAGTCAGTACAGCATTCTGTAGCATGGTGGGGGGGATTGCCAAAAACTCACCCTTCGCGAGGCACGCCCTTGAAGTCACTGCCCTGGTTTCCGTACTCAGCCTCGACCCTGTGGGGGTCGATCTGCCTTGTGACATCGTACTTCTCGACAACGACTCCGTTGAAATCAACGAAAGCCTTCGAGACCATGTACAACCATCGGTAAGCCAGTCGCTGGGCCTCCTCATCAAAGCCGTAACGCTGCAATCCAACCCAGGCAAGGATCTGCTGCGGCGCCCAGCCAAAGGGGTAATCCCACTGTCGGTTGGGGCGGTCAATACCAATCTCGCCACGGGACTTTTCAGTACCCGATACCAACCCGCCGAATACCTCAAACAGCGGCAGGGCTTTGTCGACAAGAGCCTGAGCTTGTCGTGGTGTTGCCAGGCCAGACCACATCGGCCAGAAAGTCGTTGCGGATTCGTAGTTGGTGCGTTCCTTCTTTTTAGTGTTATAATCAAAGTACATACCGGCCTTCTCGTCCCAGAGGTACTGGTCGACCCTTTGACGTCGCAGCCTCGCACGACGTTCCCAGCTGGCAGAGTTCTCAACCTGGCCTGGCTTCATGTCACCAGCACAGAACTCGGCTGGGATAGGGAGCTTGTCGCCGAAATGATTGCGGATAACACGACCAATATCAACCTCGTACTTGTACAGCAGTGCGTTGATATCGACAACTGCTAGATCAGCGGCGACGGTCTCGAGACGGTAGGAAGTGTCGTGTCCAGACTCTCGTACAGCGCGGTCGTGCAGGAAGTACTCGTCCAGCTCCTCGAGGGTTTCCTTATCCACGCCCTCGCGGTAGTTGTATGCCTCAACAAACTGCTTGAAGCTCATGTTGTGTTTCTGGGCGTAGGGTTCGAGAACGTGCTCGAAATGCGAAGCTTCTGTCTCAGGTGGCACACCCTTACCGGTAGGTCGGTAGCGTGAGAGACCTGTGTCCGGATCATATCGAGGAGCCGCCATCCAGACCGAATGGTACTCCTTGATGGCCGCGAGGATGGCATTTTTGAGAAAGTCCAATGCGCCATCTTCGTGCTTGATGCGTTCATAGACACGCAGCGCCATGTCAGTCAGGAAGGGCGGTTGTGATCGGCAGAGGTAATATGTGCGGTTGGCGTTCAAGATCTTGTTGTAGTGCTTGATGCAAAAGCAGAAATGGATGACCATCGACTTCACCAAATCGACACGGTCGTTGACAAGCAGACCAAGCGACTCCATGTAGCTGTCCCAGCCGTAGAGCTCGTTGAAGCGACCGCCAGGTACAACAAACGGAAGACCCCTCAAGTCCTTCTTCCCAGTCTCAGGGTCAATCCATTCCTCCATGGCGATAGCGAGCAGACCCGGTGCCTTGTTCAGGTCGCGTACGTACAGCTCATCGTCGACAGGCTCCTTCAGCCATTGAACGTCGAGGCGCATATCTGGGTGCTCTCTGGCGATTCGAGTGTAGTATTCGTACTGTTCGGGAGCGCCTTTGGGAATGTATATGCGTGGGCGCGGGTCGTCTGTCCAGTCCTTGGGGTCGACACCGACCTTTGCAATGTTGGAACCATCGATGCGGCGGGTAAGGCCGTCCCAGAATGAGAACTGGATGAGGCGAGAGAGGCGGTTCACAGGGTTCTCGTTCAGTCGCGCTTCGTCGAGTACAATGGTCTTGCGGCCATAGTCTTTGGCAAGGGTGAGCTCCTGGAGCAGGTTGGAGAGCATGTATGTGCCGCGCACATCGAACTTGTTGTGGGCATTGGATGCCAGGGTACCGAGAGACAAGACCTATCCTATGTCAGCATGGCCAATTGGCGCCTCGCCGTTTACTTCGAGCGCACCTTTGGCCCCTTGTCGTCGATTGTGATCTGGTAGTTTCCGTCCGAGTCTTCTCGGGAAAGGAGCGTCTTCAGGGTCTCGTCGACCTGAACAAGGAAGCGGCGGGGTTGGAGGGATTGCTCGTCTGTTGCTGTCAGCGCAAGTACCCCCGTGAGTGCAATGTCGGCTGACCATGACTGATACGGCGTCCCTGAGACACGCCCTCGGACAGCGAGGCATTGCGGGCAGAGCGGTCTACATTCTGTACTCTGTCAGTGCCTTCAATCGCTGCCCAAGTCACATGCCACTCACTGCCGAGTAAGTACGTGCTCTGACATGCTTGCGCGAGTGGCTCTCTCCGTAGTAGACCTGCGGTGTTGCCAAGGGGTCGTGCGCGACGGTGGAGGTACGACGGGGCTTTAAGGATTGCGAGCTCATGCTACGGGGGTCTGACAAGCCGGTACTGCTCTTAGGCGGAGTGGGAGTGTGTAGTGCTGGGCGCTGAAGATACTGTTGCTATGGCGTAGGCTATGACCTAGTGTTAGCCCGACCGACGCATTGGTGGGGACGAAGAGGTGGGGCCTACGCTGTGAGAGATGTTTCTAGGAACAAAAGCTGTCACACGATGGGCGTGCAATGCGTAGAGTAAGGAGAGTGTAGGAATGAGAATGTCGGTGAGGCAAAAGCTACTTGGTATTCAATTCACAATGCAATGCAGGTGCTGTCACGGTAGCTGAACGCCAGCAGCGAACGCCAATCGCAGCTGACGCCAGTGGGCGAGCGGATCGTTTGATTCAGGAAAGACGCAGGTCTCGGAGTCATTGGCAGCATGAACGATGGCGCCAGAAGAAGTTGCGATGTCTCGTGCAACCCGCCCTTTCTCCCCATCTCTCCTTGCTCTTCAAGTCTCGGAACCAAGCGTCACTCCTACCATCCGAAAACCAATTACGTCATCCCCACAATTTCTACTCCATCAGCGTCTCCATCACATCACGACCCCATTGCCCTTGAATTGCTCTTTGTGCCTGTTTTCGTTTTTTTGTTGCGCATGCACTTGGCGCGGCTGCATGGCCTGCTGCGGCTGCGACTGGCTCGGCCTGCAGGTCGGCTGCCTTTGGAGCGTGGGTGTGCAGCTTCACCCCACGCGTTGCACGAAGAGCCTCCACTTCACACAGCTTTGGAGGTACATGATAACATCCAGCTACCTCGGCATCAGTAATGTACTGCGGTCTGCACCATGTTGTCTAGGAGCTTCAGAACATGACCATGTTTATCATCAGGCAGTACCGTCGAGCGTGTCTTCCCAGCCCTATGCGACTGCGTTCCATGGCTGTTAACAATCTCGGCTCTCCAAAGCATGCCGCCAGCTTCACGCATTACGCAACAAGTGTGAGATATTGTGGTATTCATTCTCGTCCATTCTCGTACATTCTCGTCCGTCGTGGCTCTTTCCGAGGCCACTATTATACAACACGAAGGCATGCGTCGTGTCTTCCAAGAATCTCTTGGGTTATGCAAACAAAGAAAATAGTAGCGTTATGCCAGTCAATGAAGTCGAAACCCAAACACCAACGCTAAGTATGATCAACCAAATCCAGCCAGCACTAACATGCTCAACACTCGGATTCATGCCGCGTTCCTCTCGCTTCGCCTCTTCTTTCCGAGACTCCTCCAGCTCCACTTCTTCTCGCACCTCTCTCGTACGTCCATTTGACTCAAGGTGTCGGAGTCTGGCCGTGGGCTGCCACAGCTGCCGGAGAACCTCGACTCGGTTTCGATGCTGCCTGTGTCGACGCGAGCCATCTCGGAGGCGAGCTTCTGCAGATCGAGTCCTTCGGCATCAGGACACGACAGCTTGCGGTCGTCGATGTCTCCATGCGCCATGGCGAGGAAGCCGGATGTGAAGCAGCCACCATAGATCTTCAATGCCTCCAAGGATGCGGCCTTTCTCAGGGCGATGTTGTATCTCCTTGCGTCGTGGTCCTCGTCCCCAGACTCGCTCAAGTCATCCTCGAACCGATACAGTTCAGAAGACTCAGCCCATGTACGGTCTTCAATGCACAAGCGGTCCTGAAACGCAGTTGTGCGCTACGACTCGATTATCAGCTACCGTCACGGTCAACGTTCAGACAAATCACGTACCTTGGAGTATGTCGAGCTGTGCAGTCGCAAGTTTTCTTCGGTAAGGCAGCTTTGTCCTGACTGGACTGTATTCTTGTTCTTCATGCTCAGGCGGCCAACCATTGTCGACTTGTAGGATGTACTGAAGGAACGCGGAGGTTTCTGACTCGACAAAGTTGCTTAGGAAGATCACGTCGGAGGCTAGTGATGGAGTCGGAGTTTGCTGAGCTAGTGAGGTTGCTGATGGGTGAATGGACAGCTCAAAATACGGTGCCTGCCTGAGTATTATATACAAGCATACAAGAAGGCATCTCAGCTGGCGAACAACGCGTCTTCCCGCGAACGGACAACTTGGCGCCGCCTGCATCCTCTTCTTCAAGGATTCCTATCCACCACCAAAGCGCCAGTAACGTGGTACACGCCAACGGATCCTGCCACATCGCATTCTTGTTGTCGCTTCTCGGCCTGGATCAGCGCTTGCTCTCTTTCGGTTCCTGTCAACGCAGGGGCCCCATAGCTGATCCCTGGGGCCCGAGCGCAAGAGCCCGTACCTTCACTACAAGTGGAGGCCAGTGGCTTGCGCACCCAATCAGGGGAGATGACCACGGATCTGGGAGACAACAAATCAGGCCCCCAAGCCTTCAACGCAAGCCTCAATCGCGACACGTGGTCGGCTATTCCGACCTTTCTATACAGTTGCTTTTGCAGATGCTAATGCCGATTCATCCTCTCAATAAGCTTCTCAACCACATGAGAAGCCAATATCAATGCCGAAGGCATCACAATTCGCTGCTCGTTTCAGGCGTTATGCTATGGCAGTCGCCAGCGTTACGCAGATGATACAGCTCGCAATCAAACATCTTGAAACACCTCGTCGCAGACCCCAAGGCTTTGTGCATCGCGAGCCCATGCCAGCCTACATCCTGCTGCATCGTGGGAATTGCAAACTGAATCTTGCGGTCATCATTGGAAGTTTTGCTTAGATGCAGGCCCCACCAGTTGACTGCGGTCATTGCATGGTGCGCAGAGAATGCATCAATCTGTGCGTTGTCTGCGGCAAGCGAAACACTCGGCACAAATTCCAAGGCTGAAGGCTTGAGAAGTTCACCAATCTCACTGCGATGCAAGGAAAGCGTTCCTGACAGCTAGGATGCAGGGATCTATCCTTCATTTGGCTGTGGCACAGGAGCTACTTTTCCGGCCCATGCGACAACTCCACAGTTACACATGGCTGGCAATCATCGCAAATCATATGCGGCACCTCCTTTTTCGTGCAGCTTCTCTGTTGTACTTTGTTTCTATGCGATTCCGGCGAACAATTTCGACATGGGATGAGAGATGCTGCACTTTGGCAGGGATAGGGGCCGATGCTGTGCTTTCGGAGTCCACGATAGCTCAGCTCAGCCAGAGAAACGACTTTCGCTAGTCGTTGTCAGCCTCGCTACTCCCGGCTACTGTATCCACGTCTACCGCCCAACACCAGCGAATTCGCTTGTTGTCGGGGATACCGTACTGGTGTCAATGGTTCCTTGTGCGTTCACACGGTCGGACTTTTGAACCGATACCGTCGTCGTTATACTGAACGGTACACGGTGCAGCACGTTATTGCTTTGCTCAATGCGCGGCTCGCGCGTCTCTCAGCGTGACCACGCTCCAGACCACGCGATCACAACAACATCAGCACCTCAATTGTTGAGCTGCGTTGACCCGTGGACGTGCAATCTGTGAGAGAGCGCTTACTTGTCGACTGCACCAGTGCACGCAGTACCAAGTGCTTTCCTAACCCAGTCTTAGGCACTGCGAGCCCAATTACTCTACTGTGAGGTCATCTGCATCCTTTGTGCGCATCTGAACGGCGATCTAACAACATGGCAAGAAGATCTGGCGCATTCGCACGCCGTATCGTGTTCGCAAACCGCAGTCGTGGTGCCGTCAGAACGGCAGGCCCCTGTCGAATCCCTGTTCACATCCCCAGAAAACCGAAAACGAGGTTGCGGACACGGACAAGGCTGCGCAATGCAATTGCGATTCGGTGACGCCGCTCCACATCTATGTATAATCCCTGCAGAAAAGGTAAACATTTGAAATGCACCCCAGTCCCATCTCATCGCCGAAAGGATTCAGATCTCTTACAGAGGATTCTGCGGCACAATGCGCAAAAAATAGCTGAGGATGCACGCGAAGGATCTTGCAGTACATTCTAGGTACACGCGCCTCGCCGACCTTAATATGAGTACGAGGCTGCCCGCCCCGTTTTGTCCAGCAGCCTGGTTCCGGAAACGGTGCATCCGTGTGAGCACGGGAGGTAAGAGTGACGTTGGAAGTCGGCGTCCTGAGTAGTGGAGATACAGAAATGACTCCTGTCAGAAGGTGGAAATGATGTGAGATGCGCTTTTGGGAGTGACTTGAGAAGCTGTGCGACGTGGGTGTCGTTTGGCTGATCCAGCGGTGAGGTCGTCGGGTCTAGTCTATGGCGTGGAATGGGAGTACAAACGTGAGTACAAACGTGAGTGAAGCGAGCTTTGTGTCAGCGAAAGATCATGACAGCTCTCCGAAAGTTGCAAGACTCAATTGCTGATAGTCTTACAGTGATCCGACCTCACGGTGCTCAGAAGCACAACAACTCCGGTCTCCTTGCACATCCGTTGCACATCCAATCACTGAACATCGGTTTCGAATACATCCATCCCAAATCACCACTTGGGGTGTATCGATTCTTTGGTTCAATGAATACCAGATCGGACTACTTTGCCATCGGTGCGGCCCGTGAAGTTGGCGAGAAGGTAAGCTGAAGTCAGCCCTTGCAAAGGGTTGAAGACTCCAATGACGCCAAGGGGGCACCTACTTGCATCATGAGACGCTCAAGATCCAAAAAATCCACCCGGCGGCAAGAATAGATATGGTGGCCGTTCTGTGTTGCACAGCCGGCACACACATTCATGCAGAGCTGTCGAGGCCTTGTAATGGTACTCGCTGGTGGAGAGGGGTAACGACCCTGAAGCCATCGAGTCTCGATATGTGAAGCCGACAAGCGAGATGTGGAACAACCTGAGTGGTCACAGATTGGGATCAAAAACATCGAGTACAGATAACCTGACCACGTTGATCAACGATTGGGGTTCAGGTGCCTGACAAGACTGGTTCAGTGCCGGATTACCATACGCTTATCGACTCCAAATATGGCGACATTCAACGTTGCTTCGTTTGGTTGCGAAGCCCCTGGACCCTCTGCTTTTGCGCACAAAAGGTGCCTGCAAACTCTCTCCTGTCGAAATGCCAGCGTCGACGAGGCCCTCGCCACAGCACCACAGCCAGGCTTCGGCACGGTGATACCAGCCTTACGATGTCTGTAGTCAGCAAATCTGACGACCGGATGGACTATGGTATCCCGAAGCTGTCTCAAGAGGACAAAATTGTAAGCCTTCCCTGCATATGTTATGAGGTCTTGACCGTTAAACTCTACGCGGACTCTGGTGATGACTCCTTCGAATGCGAGCATTAACACGATACGAACCAGACCACCTATCCCATCGACTGGACACCGCCAGTAGACATTCACTTGGATTCCTTGCAAAATGATGCGGTTAGTCACTACCCACAATCCGAGACTAGGTGTTCTTCGACATGCAGACATCACTGTTACCCGCATCGGCCTCCAATCATTAGGTTTGAGCTACGATTGACAGACGACCGCAGTGTTTTACGCACCAGACTCGCTCTGGGCCGCTCACTACCGAAGAACGAATCCAAGGCGCTATTCACCGTCTTTCTGCCATCAAAGAAGCACAGCCGGACAAACCAGACTCATTGAGTTCTTCATCGAGTGCTAGCACTGCTGGGGAATGGAGTACGCCGCCTACACCAACTACGTCACCTTCTTTTCCCCAACAATTCTCAACGACTCTGCCTTTCTATAATCCAGTCCCGTACACTCCGCCACGTGTGTCACAACGCGGTGTAGGGGCACAACCACGAACAACTAACCCCAAGCTAGCAAAAGTTCGGCCAAGCTATCGGGCATCTGCTTTGCGGTCAGAGGTCCGCTACGATTCGATAACGCAACTTGATGGTACCCCCGAATCTTCAGCTCAGGACCCATCTAGGGCGGAAGACTCGACTCTGAACCCTGAAGATGACCGAATCACTTCAGACCCGACAGGCAGTCCAAGCAACTTTCGGCATGGACCGTCAGGTATTATACCTCATTCAGCTCTACCGACAGGATACTATCCCAGCTTGGCCGTCCAGGCTTGCATTCGCATGCCAAACCGGCCAACCCGTTCGATTCGTGCAGCTGAAGAGGAGTACCGCTTTCCTCCCAGAGCAACTTTCATTAAAGAGGGAATTGCGTGTTCTTCAAGCCCATGTACAGCGCCTAACTCACGATACAACACGCCTGTTGATACGCCTTTTGTTACGCCTTTTGCTACGCCCCCTGATTCTTCAGCCAACTCAAGGGCACCCTCGCTACGAAACTTCAGGCATAACGGACGTGTTTGGGCTGAGATGGAGATCGACACCGACTGTGATGAGCGCTCTGTCGACTCTCTCACAACCCATGTCGGCGGTACACGACCGACTGGCGCGCAAGTCCCTCGTGCACATGCTCACCCTGGTGGTACGCACAACATGAGCGACATCAGGACGGGTATCCCGTTTTGGAACCACGTCAACGCGTGAGTCTTTTCTTCCCTGCATCCACATGAAGACCACTGCTGACATTCTGGTTCACAGCAAGAAAATAGCCAAGGAAACCCGTGATTGGGAGAAGAGAGCCGGCGATGCCCAGCTCCCTTCCCGCTCATATTCTATCGATTCAGAGACCACGAAGGCGTCACCGCGGAAGCTTCGTGCGCTGATTAGAATGCTAGAGAAGATCTTCTGGAGGCTGAAGATAAAAAGTGTCTCGCAGACTTCTCCCCCACCGACAGACTGGTCATAACATATACAATGACGAGGATGAGAAGAACTTATCCGCGCAATCTGAGTTTGAGCAAGGAGTTTGGGTAGAACGGGCGTTCTTTCGTTAAAGTCGTTCGTTTAAGCGGGAGTCACAGGAAACACATATACGGAGCGGCGTTATATTTTTCATATACATTCGCTTTCAGGCAACCGAGCATATACATTCATTGAAGACAGGGCCGTTTTACGTCTTGCGCAACCGCGGAAATTGCGTGTTCTTCTGATCAGACTTACTTGCAATCGTTGTCTATTATCAGCCCATCCTGACATCCTCATATCAACATACCCAAGCATGCTCTACTGTAATAGGCTCAAATCGAACTCTAAAAATCTTCAACAGCCGTCTGCGCGTGTGCAGCAACACACCGATGTACCAATCCCAACCATTTGCTCCTCACAAATCTGCTCTTCACTTTCACTTCCTCGTCATTCCATTTGCCTTACTAAATCTGCGCATCCATGTCTCTCGACATCTTCAACTATCTACAATCGCCTAGCTCCCAACCCACCACCTCTATCCAACTCACAATGCCACACGCCCTCGCTCCCCATCCCTCACCCGATCCACCACCCACCCATCATATCACCGCCGTCGACGCTACGAGCGGCCTCACCGCCGAAGATACATCGCGGCTGCAGGAGCTTTTGAAGTGGAAGCTACGCGGTATCCCCAAGAACCATGTGCCAGATATCCGACTCAGCGATATCCTGCACTGCACACCACGTACACGTCTCCCTCACATCCCAGCGGATCTCGACCTCGCGTTCTTCTTCCGCAACCGCGGGACTATCGACTCCTTCAACTGCGTGCCGCTAAAAGAAGAGCTTGGGCAGGGTGAAGATGTGACGAGGGCGGTGTGGTTTTATCGGTTGGACAGTGTGAGGCAGTTTCAAAGGTGGCATGATGGTGTAAGATGGAACGTTGCGCTCTTCACCGCACTGCTGGCGTCTTCCACGCTCCCCTTCCCCCTCTCCCTTCCTCAGAAACATAACCAGAATCGTGACGAGGAAGTAGTAAGGGGACGCGAGAAGGGTAGAGAGGTGACGCTGAGTCCTGCGGCGGTGCGGTTCATGACACTCTACCTCTCCGCCGTCCTTGAACACCATTCAACACCCTCCACTTCCCCTTCCTTCGCAGTAAGAGAGGCGTTCGTCCGCGTATGGCGCACCAGCAATTTTGACTTGTTCATGGTGCATAAGAGTTGGGCGAAGAAAGCGCTGCAGCGGGAGATGAAGCGGCTGAGTAAAGAGTGGGAGAAAGAGTTGGATACCGCGAGAGGGGAGATGGGGAGGCAGGAGTATGACGAGAAAGTCGCATCATTTGTGGGGAGTTTGATCCCTGGGCACGCGCAGCAGGATCTGCCGCCAATGGAATGGGCAAAAGGAGGGGGTGGCAGTAGCGAAGATGGCAGGGAGGGAGATGAGGATATCGTGATGCAGGGTAGAGAGGGGAATGAACTATTGGATGCGTTGAGGGGACCTTATCCGAACGTAGGGCAAGACAAAGGCGATGGACGGACGACGATGAAGGACGAGGAGGGAGCGATGGTGTGCGATTTACGGACTGCAATCAGTTGTGTGCAGAGCGTGAGGCCGGGAGATATGTTGCCGGTGCTGATTCGGCTTTCCCAGTCGCGGAGGGGGTACCGTAGGCTGGCGGCGGATGGACTGTATGGTCTAGTGGTTTAGGGGCTAGGTTAGTGATAGCTGGGCCTGGTCTGGGTGACTGTTTGGGTTCAGGGTTTAGACGAAGGGCGAGATGTGGATGACAGATTCCAGACTCAGGGTCAGAGTCAGGGTCAGGGTCCTGCCAGAAGACGGTCCGCCATATTCGGAGGCGGCAGTACAATTCTGTAAAGTGTACAACTCTAAGCAAAATGTGAGAAGGACGTGTTTCTGGTGAAGTAACTTCATGTATTCTATTGAGACATTGTCTCTGAGGTGACACCTGAACCTGGTGTCTAATGCAATGCCAACGGGTATCTAGCGAATGTCCAATACCTTCTCTTGGACTCCGATGCGCCGGTTAAACAGACAGGTGAAAGACGTAAAGAAATAAATTTACATGGCGACGATAGTAGCCATCACCGCTTGGTCGTACCAATCTGCAACGCATGATTCGAGCTAGATTATCGAGCCCACCTTCGTCGTAGCGCGCTCCAATTCGTACCTCCACTCAGCCACATCAACGCGCTTACTGACGTCCTTGACGAGTACCTTGGCGAACCACTTATGCAGATCGAGCCCAAGAGCTTTCGAGAGACCCTTCATCTTGCGCACGTTCTTGATGCCCGCATCATCGTATGCCAGGCATTGAAGAGGACTTCCGGATTTGATCATCTCGCGCTGCTGGTACTTGTTGTGCCTGAAAGCACCGAAAGGCGATGCGCCGATAATCAGAAACAGTAAGGTGATGGCGAGAGACCAGAGATCGGTGGCAGCGGACGGCTCTGCAGGTGCTGAACTGCTTAGCAGGGAAGGGTCGAGGTAGTCCCAGGTTCCGGCTCCGAGTGGCGAGGCGTTGTGAACCTCAATCTCTGGAGCTATCAAAATGGTCGATGAGAAGTCAGAGTAGACAATCGTTGGTACAGAGGTAAGATCTGCAGGGGCCCTGAATGTGAGAACGTTCGCGGGCTTGATGTCTGCGTGAATACAGTTCTTGCCTTGCATCCACATGAGACTGTCGATGAGGGCCAATGCCAGGCGAGGGAACACGGCCGCAAGTTTCGTAGCGCGGAGATCTTCGTCGAGGTTATTGAGGTCCTTCTTGATCCAGTCCTCCAATGTTCCATCCATGGCCTTCAAGACTAGCGCATCGTTGCGAACATCCTGGCCGAAGAATTGTACGACGTGGTTATCGGAATCTGGGAACTGGGATAGATAGGACAGAATCTTCGCCTCTTCTTTTAGAACTTTGCGCGAGCTGGTGGACGCAGGAGCTTTTATGGCGTATAGTGGTGGTACAGCAGGGAAGGTATACAGCCCGATGGCTGAATCGTTCGACTTCCTAGGGGATACAGGGGGCGACTTGGTAGCAGAAGGTGGTAACAGGAAGGGCTGATCAACAGACTCCGGTTCGCTTGGGGCTGCGAGGTACACATCGCTCCATACACCTGAGCCTATAGGTCGCTTTTTGCCTTTATCATCAACCAGTATCACGTACTCGAGTGTCTCGTGATCGAAGACTTGAAGTGCGACAGGGTGGGAATGTATCGAGGGTGAGCGAGGGACAGAAGCAGTCGATGCTGTAGATCCTTGGCGCGCCAGAGTATTTAGGGGACCACAGTAATCAGACGTAGAGCCGGAGGCGAAGTGTGAGGGAGATGTTGGTGTTGCCGGCGGTGTGATGGCACTACTGCCGTGTATCTTCTTGTCTTGTATGTCCATCCTTTCGGGATGCAGACGCGACGGTGAGTCTGGCGGCGTCGATACTGATATTGACCTTGAGGTTGGTGGACCTGACTCCTTCTTTGATGCTCCTGTGAACTGCTCTAGCGTGCAGCGACCTAGGTCCAGTTGATCGTGCAGTGTATCCTCTCTGGCAGATGTAGTGTTGGTGGAGTCCGGCCCTGATGAAGGCCCTCTTGGAGGAACAGCAAGGTTATGGTAAATGGCCATGCCGTGACTGTGTCCTCGTGACGAATGTTGAGTTTGAGAAGCAGTACCGCGGTCACTGCGTGAAGGCGTGTGAAAGGGTAACCTTGACTTATGAAACAATGCCGAAAGCCAAACGGTTTGAGGGCTTTGTGAAAAGAGACGAAACCCTGACAGGAGCCTTTGGGAATAACATCCAACCCGGTATTGGTAAAGTGTGGTCTGGGTGATTTTTTGTCTGGCCACCAACCAAGGGATGGTGCTGGGGCTATGGCAACGGAACCGAACAAAAAAACGGGAATAAAGTTACAACTCTTGGTACAACAAATCCGGGGCAATAGATCGCATGGACGACTCAGTGGAGGAGACACATCCTTCGGTTCATAGAGGCGGCGCGCGTGGAGTGCCCGCGACGAAAAGGTGATGCGTGCAGTTTCGACAGATCCGGACAGCCAGCGACTGTTAAAGCACCGACAGCAATCTCGCGCGGGTGACACATGAACATAAGGCTGCGCGCTTGAAAATTAGGCTGCGGCTGGTATATGCAACTTTGGATCGAAAAGGAAGCAAGCCTGCATCCAGAACCCTTTCACTCGAGTTTCCTGGTCGGGCTGTCGCGCTGGTGCCGGGGCGCAAAAACGCGGATCCTTAGCCTCGGATCCCCAATCAATACACACCCTCGTATCAACGTGCGTGACTTGATTGGCCTCTGCGACGTCTGAAATTACTCTGACATTTGCATCTGGTTCGACGTGTGCAACACGCTGCTACGCGTGCCACGGTTCGAAATCTGTCTGGACGAAAATGACATGTCTGACGAAGCTTCGGCGTAACTCGACTGTGAACTGGGAGATTGGTGCTTCGTGACGTCGTTAGCAGCCGTTGCAAGTTCCGTGTGCAACTGATGCTATCGAAATCGATAGGCCGTCCGCCGTACTCATCGTGCCAGAGCCTTAACCAACATGTTGATTGACTGTGGCTGGCGTTATCGTAAACTCCGACCCTCGAAAGATATCAGCAATTTCCAGTCCCACTGAAGATAAGAAATCGCATCTCCTCGCAGCTCTTGCGACAATCTGTATGCACAGTCAGTCATGCACAGTCTGTCATGCGTTTGCCTTCAGCATGCATGTTTCCCTACCCTGTCAAGCAAGTTAGCCGGTAGCTCCGACTGGCTTGCTTGACTGGTGTACTCCGCAAACGCAGCATGTTGACGTATCCACGCTCGGCCGTTCGACGCGCCAACGGAAGCTTGGTGGCTTGCAGTATAGTGGCGAAACGCCCAGGTAACATCGTGGTAAGGCTGCGTCTGGGGAACCTGGTAGTTTGCACCGTCACGGCGTGCTCGCGGGACTCGGTACGGTCGGTATCTGCTTTGGTGACTTGGCGTCGTGATGAAAGATCGAGGCCAGGGAACGATAAGGTAGGTGGATCAGACAAAGGTGATGTGAGGTGATGTTGAAGATGCAGAGTTGGGTGTGGAGGAGGAATGTTTTGGCATAGCATGTGCTGGTGTCTGAGATGGGAAAGAGCATCTGGTCGACAACTGGAGTTTCAACGCACCGCTCTGCTGCTACTGTCAGCTTACAACACACATGATGCACACCAAGGCATTGGGGATGTTTGAACTTAGTTGCGGGTAGCACTTGACTGTAATTCTATACACTGCCTCATCCAGATATTGAGGCCTATCGACTACTCTCCACTCGCTGTCGCTCTTTCGAGCCGGCTGTGCTGTGCACGCCTGATATAAGAGCAATGACTGACCGTCCCGTATGCGCCGTTAACAAATGAAGGTTGCCTGAGACCAGAACACTAAGAAAAAAAAAGGGAAGACAAGACAAGAAATGGAGGTTAACCACCCTCTATGAAATGAAGATCGAACCGCCTTCTTCCAAACGGCAAGAAGGGGCTGGCAAAAGAACGCCACCGTTCATGACCATATTCCAATGCTCAAAGACATGTCGTGGAATTATGTATTTCGATACAGGATATATGCACACGCAATGTTTCCCATTAATATTTCAGATCTTGTTTTGCACAGAGGAGCGACCATGACCATACATGTCTATAATCTTGCCCACCTGCTCCTCGTGCTCCTGGCGTCAATTGTCGTAACCAGCTCCTCGTTGCCATGGGCTCGGGTTGTTTGCCGCTCGGTGCTGCACGTCGTCTCGTAGACTGCCCTCCCGTCCGTATGAAGGGGCTGGGCTGGCATTGCTGCGATCGTAGAAGGAAGGGGGTGCGTGTTGTGTATGTGTGGTGCTGGCAGGGCTGCGAGGTGGGGCAGGCTGGTAGTGCTCGTTGAAGCCGCCTTCCTTAGCAGCAATCTGGCGCTGCTCCTCCGAAGAGTAATCGTCGTCATCATCGATGCGGCTGCGCGAGTGAGTTCCCTTACCCTCACCGCGTGCAGTCGCGCCCAGAGCATCGAGCTCGGTTGTCAGCTGGGTTTGCGACTTGATGAAGGAACCACGGTCGTCGCGCATGGGCTGGTAACGTGTGTCGGGGTTCTTGGTGAAGAGGGCGAACCCAGAAGAGACGAGGAGCATAAGGAGTAAAATCAGGGAAAACGCGGCGTTGAAAACGAAGAAGATCACACCCATGACTCCGGTGACAATGCCAGGCTGCTTGAAGACTTCAGTGAACATCAGCAAAAAGATGGCGCTGAGGAAGTTTACAGCGGCGATGGCGATGTTGAAACCGTTGGTCTTCTTGTCCATCCACGGGCGGAGTACAGAGACACCGATGAGCAGAGCGGCCTCGATGATAACGAGTGCAATGGCCTGAACGGTACCGTTAGACTGGGAGAGACCGACGAACATGGCCTTAACGAAGAGGTAGGCGAGCCACGGAATGATGAACCAGTAAGCGGCAGCCTTGAACTGGACGTACAAGAAACCCCACTTGTTGAGAGCGACAGGATCCGAGTAAAGGATGTATGCGGGGTTCTTGTGCATAGCGATCGAGCGCTGCGCAATGCGAACGACCTTGGAAGAGGCCCAACCGAGAACACCAATCATGGTGAGAATGGTGAGAATAGCCAGAACAACCTCTCCAGCCGAGTCGCGCTGGGTGAGCTCCCACAGGCCCAGCATCATCATCTGGGGGAACCCGATGAGCACAACACGGAACAGAATGCCCTTCAGCACAGTGCGCCAGCCATTGCGGAAATCGATGAACTTGTCGCCCTTCATCCTGCCAGCCTTGGTGAGACCCTCGCAGATAAACTTGAAGGCGACTACACCAATAACGGTAAACAGGACGAAGATCATGAAGAAGGTGTATCCAGTAAAGAAGATGTTGGTCGTCTCAATGCGGGCCTTGAAGCCGACACGCTCGATGCCGTGCAGGACAAGACGCTCGCCACCAGCCTGGGCTTCGGTAGCAGCAGCATTACTGCGATTCATGAGACGCTGGACGGCGCGGGTAGCGAACTTGACTCCATCGATCGCACGCTTCATCTTCTTCTTCTTCTGGACCTCGACACTGATGTACGCCAGCTGAGACAGGTAGGTGGTAGGAGTTCCCCCAGTAGCGCGCTGGTACCAAGTGGCCATCTTCTGGAGGAAACCAACACGGATGATACCCATGGACCATTGGAAATTTTGGGTCCAGGCTGCGACGATAGGAGGCAAAGGCACAGCGGTCATGCCAATGAAAGCCTGAGCCTGCATGTAACCGAACAGCGACATCGCATTAGCGGCAACGTGCGCGGCGGTATTTGAGTGTCCTAGTCCTGAGGTAACAGCGGAGGCCACAAGGCCGAGACCAGCAATCACAGCGGTCGTCCACGCGACGGCCTTTTGCTCGACTGAGTGTCCGTTGGAAAGCTCGGCTTCGACGCAAGCAAGCTGAACCTTGGTGTCCTGGTCCTTGATCTTGATGCGGACGACGGCGTCCAGGTCGGGAACGGTGTAGGCGATTCCGGGAATAGAGCCCATAATATCTTGAGAAATGTCTAGGTTCGACTTGATTGTGAGAGGGCCGGCGTTCATAGGGCACATGCCGGAGAGATCGGTGTTGCCGCAGGGATCGAGCACTTGGTTCATAGCGCTGTAGCCGTAGACAAGCAACTCCAGATCGGCCTCGACCTTTCCTGCGATGTTTGAGATACCTTCGATGTTGAAGGCCAGACTGCGGTTGTTTGGCTGTTTGGGATTAGTGAACGAGCCCTGGCTGGCTTGCAATAGAGACGTACTGTGAAGACGACGTTAAATAGTGTTGCGCTGAAGCTGGAGTTCGACATGCATGGGTTCAGTGACTTCGATTCGATACGGCGCTCATCGTCGGCGGCAACAAAGGGCAGGACGGTCGCCGCCAGCGCAAGCAGCGACTTCGAGAGTGAGAGACGCATGGTGGGTGTTGAAGGTGTGTATTAGGGTGCGGATGCAGGCGTCGTACTCTGCGAGTACTGCGTTAGACGTCGCCCAAACCAGCGGGCGGCGAATTTCCGGGAACGATTGTCGAAATGGCCTGGACCGGGGTGCGACTGTAGGTATATCGAGTAAATGCGAGATTGGAGGTCCTCTAGTGAACGAACGACGGTGTGGGGACGAGTGTGGTGGTGATGTCGGGGTGGCAGGCGCAACTGGGAAACTGGGCAGTTGGCTGGCGGCGGTGGCAGGGGGCAAGCTAAGAACGGGTTGAAGGGGTAACGAGTGGCCGGTGATCGTCAGGACCTTGAAAGCTCCGTTGGATACAACCCAAAATAATGAATTAAAACTGTCGTCACAGGTCCTCTTGCTGGTTTGAAGTGCCTGAGGGAAGAGGAGAGTCGAGACAAAGACAGCAGTAGGATCCCAGCGGGGCGTGAGCACGTCTATGCACGGTGGGTGGATAAGGGGGTGCGAGACAGGACGAGTGTGATGATTGGTCCACCAGGATTGCGCGGCTGTTCCGGCCCAGCGCCCAGCTTAAGAGAGGATCCTCAATACGGCTGCCAACAGGACGATGTCGCTTTCACTGCGAGCGGCGAGCTTCTGAAGATCTCTAGGCTGCTGAAGGCGGTCTTTCAACGAAAACGCGTGCTGATGTTGCTAAAACGGGCTTCTCTTTGAAGTTCCGGAAACGCTGAAAGCGGCAGGCGTAGGGAGGAAACCGCGACACGGTGCTCCGCCACACTCAACACGAAGCAATTCAGCGCTCTCAGTCCTCCAGGGCTCCCCATTAATTTCGAGTCCCAGGGATTGGCCAATCACGGCGCTACTCACGCCCATTTTGTGCTGACTGATGGCGCCCACTCGCCCAGCGCGTGCATGTTCCAACAATTTGCGGACTCCGGGTTCTCGCTGCGAATACGCTCTGCACTGTTCAACTCAAATCTCACTCGCCGCAGGTGACCACACCACCACGGTCAAATCGTTGCCATTACACTGTGCAGTCCACTGTATTTATGTCGTTACCTGTCACCACGGCTTGCGAATGCTTGTACGTTCTGTCATGCGTTTTGAAGTGCTGCGCTTCTGAGTTTCTCGTACCCCATCCGTGCGCCTCAGGCCTCAACTGCGAAAATCGAGACGCGAACGGTGCAACTGCGCCCAGAATCAGCCTCCGTACCGCTCGTGTCCGACATACGAGAAGAAAGCGCCCGCTTGGCTGGCGAAATCGACGTCTCATTGACATTGAGATCTTCGTTAGCGTTTTCTGGGTCCCAAGCCCAGCGAACACCGTCAGCGTACGCGTCGTCATCCATTGCGTGCATTCCAAACGGGTGAGACGGCTGCAGCCTCGCCAACCACATGTTGGCGCAGCTGAATACCAGTGAGGCTATAGCAGGTCTTGAAGAGGGTACTCACGATGCTTTGGAAATACCCATAAAGCAATGCAAAACATGGCATGCTCTAATGATTTATTGCCATTGCTATAGGTCATGTGATGCTCACATAAACAGCTCAAACACCCAGAATTGTTCGACGAGCGCAACTCATCTGTTTTGACGAACGCAAGACGGCCCACAAGTGTCCCTGACGATTATTCTCTTCGTATGGAGCCTATTGTTACGGCAACAGGTCATACAAAGCGAACAGACACGCAGATACCTGCGGGAGAGATGCCGCACTGCTGTCACTCCAGCCATATCGCCTGCATGTGATGGGTGAAGCTGTCTGCATGTCAATAACACTTCAAGGCGTGCACACTGGTGACTCTATATAGCATCTTCTGGAGGCCTTCGACAACAGACCAGGAACGAGCAAACGAATAACATCGTGGACAGATTCGTGTCTAGCTGAACGCTTCTCAGCCATTGGCAAGGAAGCTAAGGATAGTCGTCCGCCCAGCCGTTTCCCAGATACAATACTAGCATTATATATGCAAATGTTGATGCTTAGTGTTACATACAACCATATGACGTTGAAAACAAGTTCTCCCGTGCCATCCGCCGTCTGTCAAGGCACCGTTTTCAGAAGGCCTGTTGAAGTCGTACTTTAAGCAAAGCTTGGATGTAAGAACCGTACCAACTGTTCTTCCTCATACTACTCACACGATTGCTATCCAACTCCTATCCAATCCC